AGGTTCCAAGCTTTGGCTAGTGCGATTTTCATTGACTTGAGATTTTTTTCTTTTGTCACTAACCTTCCTACCAGTCCCAGCAGGTTTACAGCTTTGACCATGACTGCATCATAATCCTCTTCTTCCTCCTCCAGAGCATCGTCATCATCATCTACCAGGTTGATGTTCTGGATTTTGTTCTCTAGGGCTTCTGAAAAAGATGCAACCTTCTCCTTTACTATGATGGATCTTTGTTCACCTTCAGTCATCTCCATCGACCTCACTGTAACTTCATGTTGAAGTATCAATGGATCTACATCCTTCCTTTCTGAGATTTGGAATGGATTAGTTGCATCTTGTGGTTCCTGTTGCGTCAATCCGGTTGTTGTGTCAATATTTCTGATCGATTTCTCTTTGTATTGATGTATTGGTGATAAAAAAAACTCTCCCTTACCCTAATCCGTAGGAGGCAGAATTAGGGTTTCAAATTTTTTACGAGACTCGACACCCACATTGTAGGCGGGAAACTCTCACTCAAGAAACTTGTAATGCATAAGGAAAAACAAGGACTTAGCACTCTCTCACAAACACTCAACACATATCAATCCTTTAGGAAGTCAGAGGAATCGTAGCTAACAATCGTACGAAACCCTTATTCTTCTCAAGAAAACCTAAAACCCCTATCTTAAACTCTCGCTAGACGGGACACAAATTCCTCTTTTGCTGCTACTAAAATAATAGTAATCATCCTAACTCATCCCATTATCATAATGATGAAGCCCAACCGGTAACTTTCGGCTTCATTTCCGATTGGACCCATTGGGGGCCATCGAGAACAAGCCACCTATCATTATTATAGTAAGAAAAACTTTTTTTTTGCTAATACCAATACAACACCCGAACTATCAACAAAATGTCATTTGTGTTCTATTTTATTCGATATTTCTTTTTTATCCCAAACTATTTTCCGTTAGTATTGACCAATATTCACCATTAGTATCTAACATAAAATTTAGTCAGCACTGATGAGGCATCCTACATTAAATTTTTAATATTTTTCAACTAAAATGTAGAAACTAACAAATAGAAGAAGAAAAAAACTCATATCAGCATCTTCAACCGACCTCTTCCTCCTTTTAATCTCCTGTGAATCCCCCACCGGCCACCGATGACCCAGCTTCTCTCCTCCATCGACAATTCTCCTCTCTCTCTCTCTCTCACACACACACCTCGTCCTTCTATCTTGTGACATCATCACTACCTCCAGGAATGCCCCATCACTGACATCATCACTACCGTCGAGACTGTGCGTGACATTAAAGCGGTGGTGGACAACAGTGGCTCCCAATTTCTGGGCTCCACAATTTGAAAAATAGCTCCCCAATCCAAAAGCGGTGGTGGACAGCGGTGGGTTTCTGGGTTCCCCAATACAAAAATGGTTGTGGACAACCATCGACTCCCAATCTCTCGATTGCAGCTACCAATATTTCACCACGCATCACCAACTCCTTTTGGCGACCCAACTCTGCCCCATCTTTGTTCAACCCTTCATTCATCACAATTGACTTGCAATTAGGGATTTGATCCAAGTGGAACGACCAAATGGACCCCGCAATACAAAGCTCTGGCATACAGAACATCATAGCTCCAGTTTTTAGAGCTGCTAACATCAAATCCACCTGCAATACAATAAACAAATCGACTTAAAAGAGCTCCTCATTTCCCTTTCTCTAACTTCTCTCTCGAACAGTCGGACATGGCGGGTGTGGGATGGGAGCGGAAGCGACAGAGCGGGGTCATGGACTTGGTGTTGAATACCCTAATCTGGCCGGTGAGAGGTCGGCGACGACTATGAGGGGAGATGGTGGAGACAATGGAAAAGTCGTGATAGGAGAAGAAAGTGAGAGCGGCCGAATTGGTAGTGGCGAAGAAACCGCGGTCAGTGGATTTGGGGAGAAATCAATTGAAGGGTTTGAGGAGATGAGATTCTCGATCTTGATGGGCTTGAATGAAGACCAGTACTTCGATTCTAGGGTTTTCGATGGGTTTCAAGATTTGGATTGAAGCTTTGGTTTCACGTTGAAGGTTTTGGTGATGGCGATGGCAGTTTGTATCCGCCATAATACAACAACTTCAACTAAGGGATCATTTGGTTTTGGTGATAGTTAAATCGATCTATTGTCATCAATGCATGCATAATAATATACATGTATATAAGAAAATTGGTGTATTGTAGTTTACATTGTCTGTTTTTGTGATAGTTATTGTATTATTTAAATAAATTATATCACTTTTTGGGTGAAATGTCACTTTTATCCTTTGTTTTTAATATAAAAAAGCAACACAATATTTGAAAGAAGAAGAAAACACAACAATCTCCATCAAACAATCTCAACGAAAACTTGAGATTTAACTATCACTCATTTTGAGTGATAGTTTGTGTCAAAATCAAGCAAACAATGCATGTATTGTTTGCGTAGAAAATTAAAAAAACAATGCATTGTGGACATTGCATGCATTGTAACTATTCCAACCAAACTATCACCAAAACCAAACGACCCCTAAGCTATTGTAGTTAGGCCTGTTAGCGGTGCGGTTTCGATTTTAACTAAACCGCAACTGTGGTTAACCACAGTCGAAGACGCCACTGAAATGTCAACCGCAACCGAAGGAAGGAGCGGTTAACCGCAACCGACAGTTTCGGTTTGTTTGTGCGGTTAGACGAGGCCGTTGGAATGGTTCGGAAAGGAGCGCGCGACAGACGACGGGATTGAGGGTCAACGACGTGAATCGCAGGACTGGGGGCGATGACGGACGACAGGAAGGACGAAATCTGGGGCGGAGCGACGCTGGCGCGAGGTGACTGACGATGGCGGCAACAACGATTACGACGGGCCGAAGACTGCAGTGGAGACGCCTGGGCAGGGCGATGGCGACGGCTACAGCGTGGACGCCGCGCCGGGGAGGGGAGGTCAGGGAACAAGGGAAGGGAGGGTAGCGGCGGGGCAGGGTGAGAGCCTTACTCCCGTTGGAATTGGTATCGCGAATTAGGGTTCCAACTCCCTTTCGCTGGCTTGAAAGCTAGCAGTCACCACTCACCAACCAAAGCGACGTTGTGTCGTCCAAAGGAGGATGGCCTGCGGTTTAACCGCCACGGTTGCGGTTATTACTGCTAATCGTTGCCTTCTTAAATGCAAGGTTTTGCCAACCGCAAATCGGTTGTCGGTTCACCAAAAAACGACAGTCTCGATTCGGTTTCATTGTTAAACCAAAAACCGATTAACAGGCCTAATTGTAGTATCTCTGATGTGGGTGGCGGCGAAAGTGAGGAGAGAAGCAGAAGAAGCAGCGAGAGATTTTATTTAATTTTTAATTTTTAATTTTTCTAGTTTGTATATAATTTTGAATTAAAAATATGATGTTGCATCTACGTGGATGTCGCGTTTTTGCGACGTCACCAAAAGTCAATGCTAAATTGAACACCGTTTGGTCAACCGTATTTATAACGGTCAACGAAATCGTTAGGATATAAATAACACAACTATAATAGGTTGGAACATTTTCGAAATATTGAATAGGCTGGGATACAAGTGGCACTTTTTTATAGTTCCGATTTCTCAGTGGTATTAACCCTTGTTTTTCATAATGACAACCGAGAGTGGTTTGGTGATTACTATAGAGTAGTAATCACCATGTCTACTAAGGGTAAATTGGATATGGAAAAATATTTATTTATTACCTTTTTTTTAATACATATAGATAACTACATAAACATAATAATTACAATTTTCTCTCTCTTTCTCTCATTTCCGCAATCTCTAGGGAGATTTTGTGAAGAATAGTTTTTTCTTCGATCTCGGAGGGAGGGAGGGCGGGCGTCGGGGAGAAAATGAGGAAGGGAGGGAAGCGGGTGGGAGGGAGAGGGTTAGGAAGAAGTTTAGGTCAGTTAAAGGTAATAATCATATGTGTTATTATTTTTGTTTCCAAAATTATAAGAAGTGGATCAGGTATTTAATCTTGTGGTCAATAACATGTCATATCATCGACACATCACCACACATGGAAAGCTCCAAATCATTTCCCCTATAAATTTAAATGGGTTATATCTTTTTCATTTTAAGTTGTAATTTAATTTTTTTGCACAGATAAATCAGATAAATTGTGCTCTTCAAAATAATATCTACTTTGATGGTGACTACTTCGGTGCACTCACAAAAATGAGTGCGTTCAATGCACCCAACCCAAAAACTAGTCTTAAGGTGTCAAATTTTGAATTTTAATTTGTAGAATTAGTGTAATATGATGATATAGCATATGACTAATTAGCGGATTACCTTAAGCCCTAGACCTCCAATTTTGTGTTCTATCCCTAAAGCCCAAATTATAAACCCTAACCCTAAATCTCTAAACTCTAAATCCTTCAAATTAGAGTAAATCTTCAATGGTTTTTGTGCAAATTCATGTACGTTGTTGTTCATCACTTCATAAATGATGATTGACATTATTTTGACATAAATCGCATGTTTAAAATGATGGTTATGAAGCGAGTGCACTGAATGCACTAAAAAAAGTGAGTGCACCGAAGACGTCACCCTACTTTGATATATTTTTGAAATAAACATATTGAGACATTTAGTACCAGTGTAAGACCATGGTGGTACTGCTTGGCACTATATGGAATCATACTACATTGTATAAAAGTGTACCATGATGGTATGAATAAAACATATTGTAAGATGGTTGAAGTGCATGATAATATGAATATACGAACTGTCATCTACCACATTCATCATTGTGTACCACTACACCCTCATACCAGGGTGGTAAGGAGTGGTGCTTTATGGTCCTGTATTTTTTTCGCAGAAATTTGTAGATCCCATGGATCAAAAAGATTTTGTTTCATCTATGCAAAAAAAAAGTTCAAAATTTGAGTTAAAAACGAAGTTGGTACCAAGGTGGTAACGGGTGATATGAATTTTTTTTGTCGAAATACATTGAAAATGAATATTATTTTGTAGATCACAACTAACTTGTTCCATTTGTACAAATTTTTTTGAAATTCGAGTTAGAACAAAAAAGATAAAAACTTATTAAGAAAACTAGAGAAAATAAATAGTCATAAAACCCCACCACTTAGATCTAAACTTTCTAGGTCACTCAAATCCAAAGGTCCAGATTTAATTAATGATGGGTGAATAACTCTATCCTAATTCCTAATCGTCAATTTAAAAAAAAACAAGAAAAATGAACAATAGCCACCGTGGCTACTAAAATAGTGGTAATCATCCCAACTCAGGACCTAACTCGTCCCAATATGGACCAAATATTAAGTCGGCACGCTAACGTATTCCCCGCTTTCTTCCTCCGCCGGAATTTGTCGGTAATCTGCGATCATAAAACCGCAAGCATAAACTTGTTTTCAGTTTCCAAGAACCTTTTGAAGTGCTAACGGTTGGGTTTTCTTTCCCATGTATTTTCATCTCACCCTTGAAAATGAAATACAAGATATCAAGCTACAGCCTACATCATTCATCTATCTCAAATATTCACTATATACGAAACTCAGCGCACAAAGTCATGTTTCTAAATAAAGAATATAAAAAGAAGTACCCAACAGCATCCAATGCAGTAGTTGCCACACCTAACTCTCACCTTGTCTTGTTACTTCTCCGCTTTATTTGTTTCTCCAGATTCTTGACCCTTTGACTTACAATCGAACGTGCAGACGATACCCTATGATCAGCAAACTTGGGTTGAACAATCGGCGGCGATGATCCTGGCTGATCTCTAGCAGCTGCTGCCCGTTTGAGTGCTGAAAATAGATTGAATGAAGTCTGCGAAGCAGCAGCACTAGATGCAGCAGCCACAGGCACCTCAGGAATACCCAAGCCTTTCTTCACCCCTGGAACTTTCAACGCTGAAAGTGCAAGTATGAGAACCAAAGCTTCAAATGAACATGAATTCCGGTAAGGGCTACCAAGTAGATATGGAGCACAGGATATGAATAGTGGGTAAGACTAACCGAGGCCATATCCAAGCGAAAACATATTTGATGTTATCCAATAGCAAAACATAGCCTGGCAAATAGAAATACACGATCATTTGTTAGTGTCAACGTTAAAATAACACACTACCATCAAGAAAATGAACAAGGACCAGGATGATACCTTTTGAAAAGTCATCGTGAGTGGAACAGAAGCAACAGCAATTACCCTCAAAATCTTCTTCATGGTTCCACCTGCTGGATTTCCTTCCAATCCTTCCTGCATGTTGGACTAAATATGCAGAGCAGTCAAATATTGCACTCATAAGACTGTCATTCGCATAACAAAGTGGCACAGAATCCATGACATTTTCAAAGGATCAAAAGCAGGGAGGTAAAATGCCTTACCTCAACAGTTATCAAAAATGTCAGTCCGGTCAAAACTGGTAAGATGTACAGACTATCAGGGGTAGTGAGATCAACGAACCAGTAAGCACCACCAGTTTTAAAGGACGGCACTTTTTCTACCATATTTGAAATCTGTTGAGGAAAAAAGTTGAGGTGTTAGGAGGATGTTACGAACCATAATGGTCATCAAGAAAGAAAAGACACCTTAAATTTATAGCAGGGAAGTGTGATTGCTATCTTACAGCAAGGAAAAAACTGATAAAGACAGGACCTTGGAAAATGAGCCCCTTCAGTGGAGTTAAAGGATGCACGCCATTGCTGAAATTAACAGTTCACGCAACAATGATACGATTTCAAGAGTAATCAGTTTCAATAGATTTATTTTCTTGGCTTGCAACTCACTTCTAGTGAGCAGCTTTCATGCCTTTTCAATGGAATCCGTTCACTTATCAAACACTATACTTCGATGGAAAGCTAGAAAGTTTTTGCTTGGCAATACTTAAGTAGATGAGAGTCTGACATACAAACGCATGAAAAGTTTCTTACTCCTTGAAAAGCTTCTTAATTTGCTTTTGACCATCCGAAACAGCAGTGGGATCCATGCCCTGCAACAAAGTTAATATGAGGACTCTGCACATTAAAAGTGTCAAGCTTCTAAAAACAATTAAAGGGCACAGGAAATAAGGATAGTAGAACGAAACAACTTATTCGTTTGTTTTTTAAAGACGTGGAACAATTTCAATACAGCACAGACTTTGAAAGCATTTTGTCCTGATCATGTCTACGACAATGCACAAGACATCCTACCTTAGCTTGCATTCTCTGATTAATTTCCTCCATCTGTGGTCTTATAATCTGCAGAACATACACTGATCACTGAGGGCAGGTACAGATTGGCTATGAATAACACAATGAGCAATTAAATGAATCATGAGTCAAGATCCAAGATCATTGACATTATAAATCTAAGAAACCAAATATAAGTTATATCATAAGGTAAGGCACAAAAAGCACAAGAATACAACCTTGAAAGAAGATATTCAATTTAAGAATGGGTACAACATGAATGAGAATACAGAAGTATGGAAAGCCATCAGAAGCATGTTCAGTTAAAATGTGAGTTGGTGTTGGTTAGAGATCTCTTTCCCTGGATGATTATGGAAATCATGCAGCGAGCATATGGTCCCAACAACAAGCTACAAGTGGACATCAGTTGAGTTATATACAGGGGTCACAAGTGCTAATGCCTAGAAGACAAATTTCAATACTCGAGCCAAATACTCGACAGGTGACAATTCCTCAGGTAATTGGCAAATTGCCCGGCTAAATGAGTAACCAAGTGACGGCCAGAACAGCAAATAACTGGTGCGTGAATGTATGGTGCCAACAGAAAGAACATACGCTAAGTTTTGCGGTGGCTTTCAGTTGATTTATTACGAGGGGCAGCATCGCTCCTCGGATCAGTACCGTAGCTATGACTATGGATGCCCACCTGAAAGATAATGCTTCGAGGAAACAGTCCTTTAACACATGGCTAAAGCTACTTGACAAACTCAGAGGACCTAGGGGGTCGTTGTGCATTTCACTTTGGGATTGCCATGTAATTCACTTACCAGTTGAAGCCAGTAAAGGAATGGATAGCGTCAATAAAATGTTGGAGAGCTGCCACAGGAAAGAAAGAATCAGCGGTAGCAACGGAAACTTCACTCAGAGCAGTAGGGGCGGCTTGCGCGGATGCATCGATTAGGACGCCTGATACTCCATCGTTTCCGTCGGGGGTCCCGCCGACCACGGTGGACATGTACCGAGAACCAGAAGCTCCGATGCACATCCGTCGAACGAGCAAAACAGAGCCAGGAGAGGTAAGCGACCTAACACGGGCCGTGGCGTCAATTCTGGCTCCCACTAGACTTTTAAAAGTCCTCCCCCACTGCTGTGTTTGGGGGAAAGGAGGATCTTCTTTGTGCTCATCAAGGCCGTTTAGGGAGGTGGGAAGAGAATGATTGCATCGACACCTCACGAGGTCAGCCGCTCTGGTTGATAAACTACGCCGAAGGTACGCCATCGAGTTGGCGAATGTTGTTAAGTTAACAGTAATTCGTTGATGGTGCCGTCCGGAACTATAGATACACCTGGGATAGAGAAGGATAGGCAGCCAAACAGAGAGAAGGCGGCAACAAACGCAATCCTTTATATTGGAGAGCAGACTGCAGATCTCTCCCAAGTCGAGCGCTATCGAAAGAAGAGGGAAGCCGATAGTCTTCGGTCGACACCTTGCAAACTCTTGCTAAGGGTTTGGCCAACCCTAATACCTATGTCCCTACTCCTTAGTAAACATTTTAGCTTGGATCGAAGTTTGACGTAAATGACAGTTCTGGCCTTATTTTTCAAATAAGACATTTACTAACTATTCTTGAAATTATTTGACAAATTTGGCCCAATATTTAAACTGATCATCAATATTGACGGTCAAAGATTTTTTTTATCCATGACTCCGCATTTTATGATGAGGTGGCTATAAGGTGACTTCCATATCACTATGCTGAAAGAAATTCTGAACCACAAAAATAACAATCATATCTTCTCTCATCCCACTGTGAACCTCGTCCCCCATTACCGATTCTCTCGACAAACTCTACCCAACCCCGATGAAGCATTCCATCATTTCATCAACGGCGATCGTCGACTGTTTAGCCGCCGACGAGAGAGGAGAAGAGAGTTTACACTAACGAACGGGGAATAGGAACACCGACCGTCGCTGTCTTCATCACCAACAACCCCCCACCAACTCACTCGAGGAGGGAACTAGAAGGAGAGAGAAAGAATTGGTGGTCGTTGATTTGAAACACGGAAGAGGGAAGTCGAAGCGGCGAGAAGCACGCGGCTGGGATCTGAAAACATCATCGTATTGGAGGGTCTTCCAATGGATTGGATGTGGTGGTGTACTCGTGTTGCCATTTTAAAATTCAGATCTCACTCTCCCGGTTGAACCTGAGATAGAATCGGTAACCATTGGTTACTAACCCATTAGTAACTAAATCTGTATCTTTAGGCCAAAGGTCACATAGCCTGGTGGTAAGGGAGGAGGACTGGTGACCATAAGGTCCCAGGTTCGATCCTCACCGCCACCATGGTGTTCCCGGAGGCATCCCGCTATCACCCGGACCGCCGGCGGAGGTCCCGGGGTTTAGCCTGACTACGGTATCACAAAATGTGGTGACCGTGGAGGGTGTTCCTCGTTATAAAAAAAAAAAAAAAATCTGTATCTTTAGATTTAAGTAAGCCCAGAAAACACAAATATAAGAATTATGAATTAAAGACTTTTTGTTTTTCCTAGTTTTGTTAATTGACTCTTATCTTCTTCATTCTAATTTGTATTTCAAACTTTTTTTCACAGATGGAACGAGTTCGTTATGCTCTACAAAATGAGTTCAATTTTCAATATTTTTTTGAGAACTTTTTTTCATACCTCTCGTTACCAACTCCATACCATATGATATCTTTTTTGTTTTCAAGGCGTTTTTGAAAATATTTGCACAGAAGGAACGAGTTCATCAATATCTATGGGAACTACAAATTTCTGGGTGAAAACAAAACAGACCAAAAAATATCATATTATACCACCCCGGTATGGGGTGGTAACTTGTAGTACACAATGATGAAAGTCGTAAATGACAGTTAAGATACTCATACTATCATCTAATCAATTATCATACAGTCTTGGTATATTCATACCACCATAATACGCTTTCATATCATATAGTATACTCTTATTTAATACCAGTTAATATCATCTGGTACATACTCGTAAAAAATGACTCAATTTTTTTTTTGTTCTAAAAATATAGGGTTAATATTTTCGTATGGCCTGAACTTTGACCAAAATAAACATCCTGGCCAATCTTTTCGATCTATAACATACTGGCCCGAACTATACACTAAAATAAACAATTTGGTCAAACCCGATGTTTGACCGTTAACTTGGACGGTCAAACGCGTTGACTAACGGTCAACGCGCCATGTCACTGCCAAGTCAGAAGATCTGTAGATATTTAATTTTTTTCGTTTTTTATTTTTGGTTTAACTAAGGTATTAGATGATTTTTTTTAATTTATAATAATTTAAAATTAGGGAATGTGTGGAAAATGTGAATTATTTTAAATATTTTATGCTGACTTGGCAGTGACATGGCGCGTTGACTAACGGTCAACGCGTTTGACCGTCCAAGTTAACGGTCAAAAGTCGGATCTGGCCAAATAGTTTATTTTGGTGTATAGTTCGGGCTAGGATGTTATAGATCGAAAAGATTGGACAGGATGTTTATTTTGGTCAAAGTTCAGGCCATACGAAAATATTAACCCAAAAATATATCAAAATGGATATCATTTTGAAAAGCACAATTAATCTGATCCATTTGTGTAAAAAAAAATTAAATTTGAACTTAAAGCAAGAAAGAAATCGTCCATTAAGTATTAAAAGGGGAAAGATTAAAACTTAAAAGATTTTCATATGAGAGAGAATTCTGATGTTATGCTGATGTGGACGGATTACTTATCATTACTAAATACTAACCATAAGGTAACTCACAATGACACGAGGTGCAAGTTTGGGTTGATGTGGAGTGACAACGGTTGCAAAAGCTAGGCAGCCAAAAACCATCGGGTTACTGTAATCAAGGGGAATACCATACAAGCACTCAAAGGGAGACTTCTCATTCAGCACAGGTGAAGGGATCCTGTTGATAAGGTAAGCACTATGGAGAACAAAATAGCTCCATAAACTATTAGGGAGCCCTGACTGAAACTTTAAGGTTCTAGCAACATTTAATAAGTGTTTATGCTTTCTTTCAATTCAACCATTCTGCTGAGCAGTATAAACTTGGCTAAGTTGATGCAGAATGCCTTGTTGAGAGTAAAATTCTGGCATGTTAAATTCTTGATCTTAGTCTGACCTAATCACCTTGACCTTGGTCTCAAACTGTATCATGACCATAGTGCAAAAATACTGAAGCAAGGCCCTCGCCTCAGACTTGTGACCCATAAAAAACAACCAAGTACAACGACTATGATAATCCATAACAGTAAGAAAATACTGATAACCATCAATAGAAACCACATCCACAGGACCCCAAATATCCACATGTACTAAATCAAAGATAGATTTGGCTCTAGAGGTACTAGTTTGGAAAGGCAATCTCTTATGTTTTGCCAAATGACAAATCTCACAATCAGTCTTAACCGGGGAAACTAACTCATTACAATGTTTGTTTACTACTTGAAGTCTAGAAAAAGTAAGGTCTCCAAGTCTCCTGTGCCATAAGTTGGTGTTGTCATTAGTGCTCGCTCCAAGAATTTGTTTGGAAGTCTCACTCTGGCCATTGGGCTCACCAAGAAGGTAAAGTCCTTTATCGACGGGGATTAAGCCAATCCTCTTTTGAGATATGAGGCTCTGGAAGGACACAAAGAGGATTGAAAAAGAAGTGTGACTGGACTGTTTTTAGTAAGCTTACTCACTGAAATGAGATTGTAAGAGTAGGATGGAACTAAAAAAACATTGGTTAGCAGAATTCCACAAGAGAGCTTTACAATGCCTAAGCGAGTAACTGGTGCTTGTTGACCAGTAGGTAAAGTAACAAACATGCTATGAACTGCTCTACACCTAAGGAATAGATTGATGGAACAAACAATATGATCACTAGCCCCATTATCTAGAACCCAAACACCATGACTAGAGTGATTTATGAAAGTGGATAAGGCAACAATATCTGTCATTGGAGTATCCTTAGTGATCACTGAGTCTGCCTGTGAACCATTGTGTGATGTGGATGACTGTAAGAGTGCCTTGAGCCTGATTAACTCCTCAACAGTGAAGCCAGAAAAGATAGGGGAACCAACCTCAGTTTGACTGACTAGATTTGTTGGACTGTAAGAATTGACTCCTCCGGAAGAATTGCCTTCTTGTGTATTCACCTCAATGGAGCCTGCAAAACCATGTCCTAGTTGAGCATTAGAGTGTGAACTGCCTGGGTTATTCCCCAACAAACCATTCTTCCTCTTCAGCTTCAAGCAATTCTCATTTACATGGTTATCTTTCTTACAGTAACGACAGAAAAGACCAGTTTGTGAGTTCTTTGATGACCTTTTGTCTCTTGATTGATGATATGGATTCTTGGAAGATGCAAGAGCAGTAGCTAAGGCAATAGCTTCTTCAGATTTTTCAGCATTGGCATTAGCTCCATTGAGTTGTCTCGAGCTGAACAACAGATCTATACATAATATCCAGATATGGAAGGGGATCAAGCATGAGCATCTGTGTCTTAACATGCTGGTACTTCTCATTCAGACCCAATAGAAACTTGATAACCTTGCCCCTCTCTTGATAGAACATTATTGTCTCATAAGTACGAGAAGGACAATGACAGAATGGAATGGGTAAATAGGTTTGATGCTCATCCCACAACAACTTGAAATCAGTATGATACTGCCTAATACTTTGGTTCCCTTGCTTAGTTAAGTCAATTTTCTCGTGTAAATTGGCAATACGAACTGAATCTCCCTAACTAAACTTGGATTTCAGATAATTCCGAGCCTCTGAAGCAAGCTTAATATTCCTCAAACTTGGGACAATATAATCAAAAACAGAATTCCTGATCCAGCAAACAACAATCACATTCACACGATCCCACGTTCTATAGGAAGGATTAGTAAGCGAAGGTACCTGAATCGTGCCTAGGACAAAACCTAGTTTGTTCTTCGTGCGGAGAGCGACTTCCATAGATTCACTCTAGAGAAGATAGTTGTCATCATTAAGCTTGAACCCAATGACTGGCAGGAAGGAGTTGTCGCTATGAGCAAGGTAGAACGGGTTAGAATAGGGATCTTCATAGCGAGTGGGAGGTGTTGCTTCCTCCTTGTCCTTACCAGAAGCATTTGCATCATCTGACATGTTGGATCTTATTTGAAAGAAAAGAGAAGTAGGAAAGAACGATCGATTGATGAACTAAGATCAAATCAGCAGCCAACCAGACTCTGATATCATGAGAGAGTTTTGACCTAACAGCAACTAGGGTTTCGAAAGGGAGAGAAACAAGTAGGGTTTTGGGGGAAAATGGCTAAATGTCTTTTCCATTTTCTCTGATTCACATATATACCAGGCATAGTCATTTATAGAGGAGCTAAGACTGTTCTAACGGCTAATAAACAGAAAAGACCTATCTTGTACTGCCAAGTGGCTAAACGCGGGATAATTATAGAGAAACAAAGTGATGAATAAAACAATTGCATTTCCTCCTTATTTATGTGACTGTTGGCTTCGGGTCACGAGTCGGGTGAAAGAAAGCCTGGTCTGCCCGTTGGTCAACCCGAGATGACATCTTCGTCTTCCTTATGCAGAGCTCCAGTTCCTTCATTCTTCAACCTTCTGCATCTGCAACTCTGCTTCACAAATTATGGAACAACATTGTCTCGGCGCCACCGCCGCCGACTCCCTTCTCCTCAACATATCAGAGATCGCCTCATCCTCACCATCTTTGCCGACGTCGTGGAGAGAAGGGCCCATTCGCTTGAACGAGATGATTACATAGGACGAGGTGAGGGAGCTTCGAAACTCCTGCAATATCTTCTGCAGTGCTGCAAATCGCTGGGGAATTCTGCTCCACGGCTCGTCGGGCACCGGTAAAACCCCAATCGTCAGAGCAATCGCGAATTAGACACTTCAATCGATGAGGAGATGTGCGGCAATGGAGGAAACAAAATAGGAGTAAGCTTTCAGCCTTCACTTCGTGCTCTCTCTATCTCTTTCTCTGGACTTTTCTCCTCTGTCTCACGATCTCATTGAGAGTCGAATTAAAAATCAATGGCAAACAAATACTTAATTGTATATTTTATTTTTAAAGTAAAAGAAAAGATAAATGAAATAAATTGTGGGCATGCATTAGTGCATAGCTATGCTGCAGCCCAATATTGATTACTTTGCGACGCTTAAATCTTCCGTCCGCTTGCCCGTCGACAAGTGATAGATACCAACGGTCACGATAGAATGTCGGTAGGTGACACTCACAATTGTTAGCTTTTCTTGTAGTGTGCTTATCATGATCTGCTCAACCTTGCATATAAGGGATAACAAAAAACCAAATTAGGGTTTCAAAATCACATCTGGTGTTAACAGGAGATATGGGGATACTTATGTGGTTCCGCTGAGAAACTTGTAATTAACGTCCATTCGTTGATTCTTTCATACTGAATGTTTAATTGCTCTTCCCAAATCTCTTATCCCTTGACCTTCAACTTGTATGATCCTCTGTTGACATTTTGTCCATTAGCCTTGATACAAGTTCCGACTTTATTAAAAAGAAACGGAAGCACATGCAAATATGTAAGTTGAAGGCGACGTCGATATTTCTAATTCTAACCAAGCCTTAATTAATTAATTAATATTTGATACAAAGTTACGAATTTCAATGTTTAGAAGGAGACATTTTGTCCATTGGCCTTAATATAATAGAGTATGAATTAGTGTATAACTTGGAGAATGCAATGTGGGTTAACACTTAACAGGCTGGCCTTATCTCGCTAAGATCGATGTATACATGCACTGAATTCAATATTGTTAGGCTATGAATTAATGTTTTTTTTTAAAGTAAATATAAATATAGCAGCGAGCAGAGTGGACAGATCCTGGGTTGATGCTCATGGGAAACTGGCATCGAGTCAGAATATCAACGGAAGTCATGTGCAGGAGCGAGCAGAGTGGCGACAAGTTAGGCACAAGTCGACAGCAAAATCAGGTTCATATGCGGGCTAGCTTTTAGCGGTCAGAGGGCTTTTAATTAATCAGCTGCATGCACAGAGACACATGCAAATGTCCGAAAATGAAGGGATTATATTGTTTTTAATTAATTGTTTTAGTTATTATTTGAAAACAAGAGATGGATTGAAATTTCGAAGGCACAGACCTATTTTCGTAAATATTTATGGAGTAGTGTGCAAAAAGAAAACACAAATGAATCTGCTGTACTGTATATATACACGTGGGAACCCCATCGACCGTGCTTCCAAGAACCAAAGAAACCAAAAATGAAAAAAAATAAACGAATCTTTAATTTTTGTTACGGGTTTGCACTAGCAATAAATCACCAATCTAGTGAGCTCTCGCTCGATCTCTAGCGCAAGCTCGATCTCTCTCTCTCTCTCTCAGTTATATCTGTCTCCCTCTAGTCTCTCTAACTGGTCTGTCCTGTCTCTATATAGAATGCTCTGCCTCTTTCTATTTACATAGATAAAGATAGAGAGAAAGCGAGAGAGTTTCTCCTCCTCCTCATCCCAGACGGCCAGACGTATTAGTACAGCTAGCAGTATTGGCCTGATCGAGCTTGTGTGCAGCCAAGCCAAGTTACAGTTAGTGGCCGTAGGGATAGGTACAAGTAGAAAATACATAGTTGGGCTTGGGCGCGCCATAGAGATCTCGATCTCGATCGAAAAAGAAAGTAACTAGGTAGGTAGGTAAGTTAGGTATAGCTAGCTAGCTAGGAATCATGATAACTTGGAAGGATATATACGATGTACTGGCGGCAATAGTGCCGCTGTACGTAGCGATGGGGCTGGCGTACGGATCGGTGAAGTGGTGGAAGATATTCACGCCGGAGCAGTGCTCAGGAATAAACCGGTTCGTGGCGGTGTTTGCAGTTCCGCTTCTGTCGTTCCACTTCATATCATCAAACGACCCGTACGCAATGGACTACAAGTTCATCGCCGCAGACTCGATGCAGAAGTTGGTGATACTGGGGGCCCTGTTCCTGTGGCAGGCGCTGAGCAAGGGGCAGTGCACGCTGGAGTGGGTGATTACAATATTCTCTCTGGCGACCTTGCCAAACACCCTGGTGATGGGGATCCCATTGCTGTCCGCCATGTACGGGGACGCATCGGGAGGGCTGATGGTGCAGATCGTGGTCCTCCAGAGCGTCATCTGGTACACCCTCATGCTCTTCATGTTCGAGTACAGGGGAGCCAAGCTCCTGATCTCGGAGCAGTTCCCGGAAACGGCGGGATCAATCACCTCCTTCCGGGTGGACTCGGACGTGGTCTCCTTGAACGGGAGGGAGCCCCTGCAGGCGGATGCTGAGATCGGTGACGACGGAAAGCTCCACGTGATGGTGAGGAGGTCGAGCGCGGCGTCATCCATGATCTCATCCTTCAGTAAGGCAGGGGGCGGCGGAGGAGGGTTCAACTCTATAACCCCTCGGGCATCTAACCTGACCGGGGTGGAGATATACTCGGTGCAGTCGTCAAGGGAGCCCACCCCAAGGGCCTCCAGCTTCAACCAGATGGATTTCTATGCCATGTTCGGTGCTAGCAATAGCATAGTCAACAGCAAGGCCCCCAGCCCAAAGCACCATCTCCACCATAACAACAACAGCATCCCCCCGCCGGCCTCTGCTGCCGATGTCTACTCCTCCTTTCAGTCCTCCAAAGGAGCCACCCCCAGGACTTCCAACTTCGACGACCCCCCCACTACTCATCATTCCAAGAAAAGATCGTCTTCATCTGGCGGCGGTGGTGCAGGGAGGAGCATCAGCGGAGAGCTTCTGTTTAATCCGGCTCTAGGAGGGGCATACCCGTCCTACCCGCCACCAAACCCCATGTTTACGGCAGCAGCTGCCAGCTCCACTGCTGGAGCCAATAATAATACTAGTAGTAAGAAGCCCAAGGAGATGGCGGCTGCTGCCAATAACAAGGAGCTGAACATGTTTGTTTGGAGCTCCAACGCGTCCCCTGTTTCTGATAATCCCGGTTCCAGGGCAGCTAGATCAGGTACATGCATGTGATGTGATCCATCCATCACCTTTCTTCATTTAGTTTTTAATTTGATATAATATAATACAATATATGCATGATTAGTTAATTATTAGCTTCCTAGCTGCCTGCCTAGTGCTACCCTCCCTACGTAGCTTCAGCATTCGGATCTCATCTCGTCTACTAAAAATGATCGATTAGCTAGTTACTTACAAATACAAATACAATGACTTAATTTCTTCACCATTAGTTTAGTGGATACTTAAGCAGCAGTAGATCGATCGGTAATTATATTTCAATTACAATCATATCAGCAATAATATTATTTTAATTAAGAGGGAGTATATAGGGAAGTCCATACCTCATGATCTAATTAAAGACCCTGCCCTATTGATAAATCAAATATACTGCTATTATTATTCTTGTTTATATAATAATGGTAACCGAGCATGATGGATGATAATGGGTCGGGTTTTGCCAAACTCAAAGTGAAATCCATGGGTTTATCCGTTAAAAAAATCGGGGATAAAATTCAATGGGTTTGAAAAACTCAAACCCATCCCAAACCGCTGGGTATCCGCGGGTTCATGGGTACCCGTACTCATGGGGTTTTGTGGTAAAAAATTCACAATGACAAGTTCGTATCAAAATAAAAGTCAAACATCAATTTCTCCATACATAAAACACGAGGTTAGAAAATTCAAACAAATCACAAATTATCCATACAAATTGTAAATTAGATTGGGGGAAATTACAATTAGAGTAGGGTTTGGAGAGAGTAGGCGGCGAAATAAGTGTGGAAGGATATCCATGGGTCGGGTATTCCTAAACCCAAACACAACCCGGTAAAAATGCAACGGGTTTAAACCTGAAATCCATCAACACGGATTTTATCCGCATTGACCGGATTGTGTCGGGTAGGGTACCCGTGTTGACCGAATTGAGTCGGGTTTTGTTGCCATCCCTAACCATATCTCCTCAGCTTTTCCAACTTCTATATATAATTTAGAGTTTTCTATTTATATCATCAGTTACTTAATGTAATTCGATCGAAATATACAGAATAATTATTTACTACCAAGGCAACTATTGCATGCGAATAAAATGAATTAAGAGTTGGTAATATAAATATATATATTAATTTGTTGGGTGCTGCTTATAAATATAGATAATGCATGTGATTAAACAGGACAACTAGGAGGAGGGAGCAATAGTAATAATAGTAGTAATGGGGCACCACCATCACCCATATTCCAGAAGAGAATGGAACCGGAGGAGGAGATGGAAGGAGGAGAAGCTGCAGGCAGCAAGGAGATGATGTCGCCAGCGTCAGGGGGAGATCACCATGATCCAAGAAGCGCAGGCTCATCCGCAGGCGTCAAAGCAGCAGCTGGTAATGGTAGCAGTAGGCAGCAGATAATGCCTCCTGCTAGCGTGATGACACGGCTCATACTCATAATGGTGTGGAGGAAGCTGATCCGCAACCCGAACACGTACTCCAGCCTTCTGGGAGTCATATGGTCTCTGGTTTCCTACCGATGGCACATCCAGATGCCCTCCATCGTCAAGGGCTCCATCTCCATACTCTCCGATGCTGGTCTCGGCATGGCTATGTTCAGTCTAGGTACCTAGCTTCTTAATTAATTTTCTCCGCTTCCCGGCCCCTGCATCGATCATCCGCCATGGCTCATCATGACATAAATAATCCATGCATGTTTTACTTATTAGTTACAAATAAATGATGCAGGTCTCTTCATGGCCTTGCAACCCAAAATCATAGCATGCGGTAAGAGGAAGGCAGCATATGCAATGGCAGTCAGGTTTTTGACTGGTCCAGCTGTCATTTGTGCAGTCTCTCTTCCTATTGGACTCCGCGGAACTCTTCTACACGTCGCTATTGTTCAGGTTTACTAATAGTACTACTGCTTAATTGGTACTAATAAAGTAAATGTTGTAGATTATATAGCCATGATATACAAAAAATGTATATATGTATTCGACGGCTTTCTATTTGTGGGAAAAAAAGTGTTTGATGACCAACATATACATATATAATGCAGGCGGCTCTACCCCAGGGCATAGTCCCGTTTGTTTTTGCCAAGGAGTACAATGTCCATGCTGACATACTTAGCACTGCGTAAGTAGACAATATATATGACACATTATGCGTTCACCATTTCTGTATTAATTCTTTTTATATATATTTCTCTACTTCAGTACGTAGTCCTCCGAATTATTATGTATATATTCGCTGAATTTTTTTTTGTTAAGTATATATGCATGTATGTATGTGTATAATGGATTAATAGCTGATATAAACGCTCCATGTGTTGGCTGCATGCAGGGTTATCTTTGGAATGTTGATTGCCTTGCCAATAACAATTCTCTACTACGTCTTACTTGGTGTGTGACAGCCAATTAATTTCATGTGTTCGTAAATTAAATCAGCCGGCGCCCAGCTTCAAGATGCGAAACATGCATGCACCGGAGATATCTCAAATGCCGTGCCACATCTAAATGATCACCATATATATGTATCAACTTTTTTTCTTTTGAAAAGTATATATATATATGTGGATAATGATGATCAAGAGAACAAATTATTCACTTCAGCATATTTTAATAAACCGGCGTGGAGTATCCACATGCATCCATATATTAATATTATATTTAGGGTTAATACTCTAGTTTGGCCCGAAGTTTAACATAAGTGACAGTTTTTGCCTCATTTTTCAAATAAGACATTTATGGCCTACTTTTGAAATTATTGGACAAATTTGGCCCAAAAATTTCTTTGACCGTTAATATTGACGGTCAAACACTATTCCGTTAGTGACTAAGCAAAAAAATATTGATGTGGCATGCCACCTCATTAAATAATATTATTTTAATTTTATAATTCAATTAATGGGAATTCTATGGTGCAGTCACTGCACTAGTGCCGCCACTTTATTGTAACCGGTTGAGTTGGTGATTTATTGGTTGGCTCCGGTTGAGTTGGTGATTTATTAGTTGACTCCGGTTTAGTAATTTAATTAATAAAACATTAAAAAAATAAAAAGAAACAGAAAGCAAAAGGCAGGACAGTCGTTCCCTTCCATGTCTTTCAATTATAAATCAAGGAAACCCTTCCGTCGCGGCACTCCACCACCACGTTGTTTTCGTCGATCTACCTCACCAGCAAAATCCCAACTTCGTATGGCAAAATCAGTTGCGTCATCAGTCCCGTAGCCGCCTTCTGCTCATCGACAGCATCGTTTCTGCCGCGTGAATCCACAATCACCATCGCCATTGCGGCCGATCGACCATAACCACCCACATCCCGAATCCCCGGCAATCAATGTTAACACCGTCGTTAACCCAGTTGCCGCCGCCAGGTCATCTCATCGCCGTCTCTGTTGTGCCAATAAACCACCGTTACGTTGTCGCTGGTCGGCCATCACCACCCAAATCCCGACACCCTCGAAATCGCCATAGTCGTCAAGGCTCCTACCTTCTCGTTTTAACCACCGCCGATTCAATTTCTCCATCCATCTACACAATTCCTGAGTATCGAGCATCAAGAGTAAATTAATCAGTATCTTCTGTGGCATGAGAACCTTTATTGGCTTGAAACAAAACCCAATAGCTCATATAGGTAGTGTGACTCTATCCTCTGCAAAGTTACATCCCAGACAAAGACAAAGGGGTTCTAGAAATATTTATGATCCTTCCCCAGAATCCCCAAACAAATAAGTAAATCCTCAAAAGCTTGGGGTGGTTTCAGCAGACAAATTGCTGCCTCCAAGCACAACTTAACTCATGTCAATTCCGGGCCAAACTGAACTTATTTCTAGCAGGTAATTATATGACTTCATATTCGAATGACCATTGATTTTGTTCTATTTCACATTCATGTACCCTTTGAAACTCGATCCTATGCATGCATTTACAGAGCAAGCCAAGTTCAAACAACAATAGCATCAATCATTCGATTTAGCATATCGCAGTTACTTAAGAAGCATGGGAATAATCGGAGACAGTCCTGAAGAAGCAATAAGATTACAACAAACCTGAACTTGCTTTCGGTTTCAGCTACCAATAAGTCCAGCGGTGAGAATGGTGTTGCAGCGTAGCTATACGGAGGGATTCTGCCAAAAATCGTCCCGGAGTATAATTCTTTTCAGCGGCTATTTGGAGAATACAACTTTGTCGTGATAGATTGTAGGAATATTGTGATCAGATTAAGGACAAGAAGATGAACCTTATGCCTCAATTGCGAATCCGTTTTCTGTTCGCCTCCCCTTCCTGCCGGCGATCAAGAGATACATAACGACTGAGCAGGATATTTCGACAAGAAGCAAGAAAATAAACAAATAATTATTTCTGAATAGTGAAACGAACCAACGTTTTCCTTCTGTTTCAACATTAAAATATATATAATAAATGATTTCAATATACAATGGGTTCAACCTACTATGGTTAAGTGAGGGTCATAATCAACCGTCCTCATTACACTTTGGAAATCCAGCGGCTTTTAGGATGGCGGCATTAGTGCAGTGACTGCACTACAGATTCCGCGTTCAATTAAAATAAAAATTATGAAATTTCCACTTATTATCCCAAAATCCCAAAATCCCCAAATTCAAACACTAATCTAAATCAAAATCATCTTCCACGGGAGGGAGGTGCCTCCTCCTTCTCCGACGACCACCACTCTGCAATTTGCAGGGGATTCGAGTTGCCCGCAGTGGACGAAGACCGATCCGTCGACGAGCAGGGCTAGGCTTAGGCGGAGGCCGAGGAGGAAGCGGTCGGGTTGACGATCTGATGGCTGCCAGGCGGCGGGTACTGTCACGGACATAGACTTCTGAAGTCCGTGCGGCGTCTTGAGGTGCACTCATTCCTCAAGACCAGCCTCTCTGCATACGCATGCCAACTGGTTTCGCCCTGCCTTGGGCTCATCAGGGAGACGGCAACAGCCTCCGACCAGTTGTGCCTTCTCTTGCAACGATCCCTTTCATAGCCACATCCTGACTAGGCCAGATGCGATGCACAGGCAGACAACGCCTTATCACTAATGTCGCCCCCTTTACCCTTCTCATGGCAAGACAACCAGATGGCAGCGTTCTTCAGACGATCAACACGGTCACGACATTTCGGGTCGTGACATTCTCCACCACTCATAATGCAGCACGTCCTCGTGCTGGTGAAGAATGCTTCTCTCCGCAGCATGTATTGCAACTCTCGAACCGATTGTGGGCGTCCGCATAAGATACCATCCTCTGATGGACAGGCTCCGGTCACGTCTCTCGCGCTAGCCTGCTGTGCCCCGCGCACATACCGCTTCGCCCCTCGACATCAACCTTCACTCTTTGCTTCTGCTGCGCTAGTACCTCAGTCCACCTTCACCCTACGCTACTCCCAGCGTTTGTACCTCAATCGACCTTCACCCTACGCTCTCGCTAGCGTTAGTTCCTCGGTTGAACGGCATTCTCGGCCGCTGCATCTTCAGCCTGTCGAGGTCCCCCACAACGGCGCAACACATGTGTATCTGCATCCGGACCGCCTGATATGCTCACCCAGGACCGCCTCTCATTCGGGCATAGGGTCGGCCCATACACGACCTATGCCGTACTAAGAGAGAAACTAGGCTCTTTAGCCTAACCAGGCTCTGATACCATTTGTCACGGACATAGACTTCCGAAGTCAGTGCGGCGTCTTGAGGTGCACTCATTCCTCAAGACCAGCCTCTCTGCATACGCATGCCAACTGGTTTCGCCCTGCCTTGGGCTCATCAGGGAGACGGCAATAGCTTCCGACTGTCGTGCCTTCTCTTGCAACGATCCCTTTCATAGCCACATCCTGACTCGGCCAGATGCGATGCACAGGCAGACAACGCCTTATCGCTAATGTCGCCCCCTTTACCCTTCTCATGGCAAGACAACCAGATGGCAGCGTTCTTCAGACGATCAACATGGTCACGACATTTCGGGTCGTGACATTCTCCACCACTCATAATGTAGCACGTCCTCGTGCTGGTGAAGAATGCTTCTCTCCGCAGCATGTATTGCAACTCTCGAACCGATTGTGGGCGTCCGCATACGATACCATCCTCTGATGGACAGGCTCCGGTCACGTCTCTCGCGCTAACCTGCTGTGCCCCCCGCACATACCGCTTCGCCCCTCGACATCAACCTTCACTCTTTGCTTCTGCTGCGCTAGTACCTCAGTCGACCTTCACCCTACGCTACTCCCAGCGTTTTTACCTCAATCGACCTTCACCCTACGCTCTCGCTAGCGTTAGTTCCTCGGTTGAACGGCATTCTCGGCCGCTGCATCTTCAGCCTGTCGAGGTCCCCACAACGGTGCATCACATGTGTATCTGCGTCCGGACCAAACGCTGCAACACATGTGTATCTGCGTCCACAATGGTGCAACACATGTGTATCGTTGCTCACCTAGGACCGCCTCTCATTCGGGCATAGGGTCGGCCCATACACGACCTATGCCGTACTGAGAGAGGAACTAGGCTCTTCAGCCTAACCAGGCTCTGATACCATTTGTCACGGACATAGACTTCCGAAGTCCGTGCGGCGTCTTGAGGTGCAGTCATTCCTCAAGACCAGCCTCTCTGCATACGCATGCCAACTGGTTTCGCCCTGCCTTGGGCTCATCGGGGAGACGAAAATAGCCTCCGACCAGTCGTGCCTTCTCTTGCAACGATCCCTTTCATAGCCACATCCTGACTCGGCCAGATGCGATGCACAGGCAGACAACGCCTTATCGCTAATGTCGCCCCCTTTACCCTTCTCATGGCAAGACAACCAGATGGCAGCGTTCTTCAGACGATCAACACGGTCACGACATTTCGGGTCGTGACATTCTCCACCACTCATAATGCAGCACGTCCTCATGCTGGTGAAGAATGCTTCTCTCTGCAGCATGTATTGCAACTCTCGAACCGATTGTGGGCGTCCGCATACGATACCATCCTCTGATGGACAGGCTCCGGTCACGTCTCTCACGCTAGCCTGCTGTGCCCCGCGCACATACCGCTTCGCCCCTCGACATCAACCTTCACTCTTTGCTTCTGCTGCGCTAGTACCTCAGTCGACCTTCACCCTACGCTACTCCAAGCGTTTGTACCTCAATCGACCTTCACCCTACGCTCTCGCTAGCGTTAGTTCCTCGGTTGAACGGCATTCTCGGCCGCTGCATCTTCAGCCTGTCGAGGTCCCCCACAACGGCGCAACACATGTGTATCTGCGTCCGGACCGCCTGATATGCTCACCTAGGACCGCCTCTCATTCGGGCATAGGGTCGGCCCATACACGACCTATGCCGTACTGAGAGAGGAACTAGGCTCTTCAGCCTAACCAGGCTCTGATACCATTTGTCACGGACATAGACTTCCGAAGTCCGTGCGGCGTCTTGAGGTGCACTCATTCCTCAAGACCAGCCTCTCTGCATACGCATGCCAACTGGTTTCGCCCTGCCTTGGGCTCATCGGGGAGACGACAATAGCCTCCGACCAGTCGTGCCTTCTCTTGCAACGATCCCTTTCATAGCCACATCCTGACTCGGCCAGATGCGATGCACAGGCAGACAACGCCTTATCGCTAATGTCGCCCCCTTTACCCTTCTCATGGCAAGACAACCATATGACAGCGTTCTT